TGTGTTTTTTCCCCCTTCCGAGTAATTCAGAGCCGTTTGCAGATGGCTTCCTGGCAGCTTCCCATTAAGGAAACTTTAGACAGGTGTCCCATTTAGCTTGTGAACCATCCATTAAGGAATGGTAGTCATCAGGGCAAGATGATGGTGGGAGGGGGGGGAGAGAGCAAAGTTGTGGACAAGAAAAGATTGGTCCTCTATTGAAATTCTTACATTTATTAAAATTAGGGCCACAGCCCAGTTCAAGGCCTTGAGTCAGAGGTCTTCAAACTTGGCAGCTTTAAGACTTGTGGACTTCAACTCCCAGAATTCTCCAGCTGGCTGGAGCCAGCTGGAGAATTCTGGGAGTTGAAGTCCACAAGTCTTAAAGCTGCCAAGTTTGAAGACCTCTGCTTTGAGTGGATTGGTGCCTGTAGGTTTTAGGCTGCAATTCTAATCTCAAGGTCTAAAGAGTGGATGATCCTTTTGATCAGAGATCAAGCAGGAAGGACTGCTCTTCAAGGAAGTTAATACATTATGAAAGGTTTTTTTTCCCCAAAGGGATGACTTTGTTTTCAAAATCCTTTGACAGCTACAGAGCTCAACTATAGTTCCTCTATCACTCCAGGCAGTAGAGACAGGACAGCAAAAAAATTTGGAATTTGTCATTCAACAGGTATTAGAATTAGCGGGAGGAGAAGTCATGAGGAAACCAACGAGGGAATGAGAAGGTTAAATAAATCTCAAGCCTTCCTCTGGTTTATCTGCCGTAGATCCTTCCTCCAGGAAGTAGATGTCTCTGCTTTTTGATGGAGTATGAGTCATACAGTATCTGCAGAGAGGTAAAAACCTGCATTGGTGAGCCAGCAAAGGTAATTCTTGTCATTTAAAATAAATCACTTTAGAAGACACACACACACACACAGACACACACACACAATGTGAAAGAGAAGAGGGAATAACTTCTAAGATGGCGAAAACCATTTGGAATTCTTTATAAATATTTGTGTAAAAATGTTTAATACGGTGTCTAATGAACAGCAGACTTTGTTGTCTTAAATCATCTTTAATATGCACTCCAGAAGTTGAGAAGCTTGTGGAACAGTTTCCCTTAAATCTATCAGTGGCCGTTTTAGCAAGCAGAACACATGGCTTTCTCTCAAAGTCCTTCTTAATTTCTCTCTCCCTCCCCACCCATTCCTCTTGGCCTTGCTGAAGATCTGTGGTTTCAGTGGCACCCTTGGGGAAGTCGGAGGATCACAAGTTGTCTGTCAACTCAGCATTGTCCTGCTCTGGCCTTGTCTTTCCTGGACGGAGTTCTTAGATAGTCTCTTTCTTCTTCTAATAGATGATTAGCAAAGCATCTAGTATCCTTTTGTGCTTTTGTTGAGCAGTGGTCATAGAGTTTCTGAGGATGCTGATGTCAGCCTGGTGTATCTAATGTAAAACGAAACAGGAGGAAAACAGAGAGCAACCCATAGACTAGCCCTGAACCGAATACATATAGTCCTTGACTTATGACCACAATTGAGCCCAAAGATTATGTTGCTAAATGAAACATTTGTTAAGTGAATTTTGCCCCATTTTACGACCTGTCTTGTCACGTTTGTTAAGTGAATCACTGCAGTTGTCGAGTTAGTAACATGGTTGTAAACGAATCTGGCCTCCCCATTGACTTTGTTTGCCAAAGGGTTGGAAAAAGTGCTTGCGTGACATGGCAATCATCAACAAATATGAAGCATTTGCCAAGTGTCTGAATTTTGATCACATGACCATAGGGATGCCGTAACGGTCATGTGTGAAAAACATAAGTCACTTTTTCCAGTATCATTGTAATTTCGAACAATCACTAACTGAACTGATGTAAATCAAGAACTACTTGTATGCAGCTCCCCTCCCCCTTGACTATGAAAGATGATTTAAAGGAATGGAAAGCTTAGGATCTGAAATATTTGGAAAGTTAAGGCACTTGTTATGCCTTCCTTTTCTTCCTCCTTATGCTCTTCTTTTCTTTTGACAGCAGCAGGAGCAACCTGCTCCCTTCCACAAATGACCTTGCCATGAAGCTAGCAACCATCTCTCTCATGGCTGGAGTCAATTTGAATGGTTCTTCTACTTATTACTGAAGTTACTTCCACTTTTTAGAAGGGGATTGAGGTCGACTCATTTTACCCATGAGTGGACCTTCCTTCCATAGTTCTCTGAAGCATTATAGTCCCCATGTTTTTCAGTTGAGCCCTGACTTGGGGATAGGGGTAGAATGACTCCCTGAAATAAAATGAGCAGAGCAACCCCACCAAGTTGGTATTACTCGCATGTTTCTTTCTCTGTCAAGGCTTTTAAAAAGATAGAACCAGTTTTGGTGTAGTGATTGAAAAAGCAGGAGACAGGGAGTTCTAGTCATCTGTTAGGCATGAAAGCCAGCTGGATGACTTTGGGCCAGTCACTCTCTCTCAGCCCAAGTCACTTCACAGAGTTGTTCTTGTGGGGAAAATAGGAGGAAGAAGAAATATTACCTATATTTGCTACCTTGAGTTATTTATAAAAATAGTAAAGCCAGGAGAGATGGAATGGAATGGAATGGAATGGAATGGAATGGAATGGAATGGAAGATAGATAGACAGACAGACAGACAGATAGACAGACAGACAGATAGACAGATACCATGTTTCCCCCAAAATAAGACTGGGTCTTATATTAATTTTTGCTCCAAAAGATGCATTGTGGCTTATTTTCTGATTAGGTCTTGTTTTGGGGGAAATACAGTACTAAACACCTCTGTCTGGTTGACGATCTTAACGGGGGCTTATTTTTGGAGTAGGGCTTATATTACGAGCATCCTGAAAAATCATGCTAGGGCTTATTTTCGGGTTGGGTCTTATTTTGGGGAAAACAGTGGATGGATGGATGATAGATAGATAGATAGATAGATAGATAGATAGATAGATAGATAGATGAGAGAGAGAGAGATGGAGGGAGAGAGAGAGATACCAGTAGTGGTGAAGGAAAATCACATGGATAAGTGCTACTATACTGTATGTCAGGGGTCATGGCAGTCCATGGCTTGTTAGGAACCAATCCACAAAGCTAGAGATGAACGGTGGGCAAGTGAGCAAAACCGAAACCTTCCCCTCTTTCCCCTCCCACGTCCATGGAAAAATTGTCTTCCATGAAACCGGTCCCTAATGCCAAAAAGCTCATATAGTGAAATAGAAGTATTGGATATAAAGGATTATTGTTTTGCAACGAGGTTTGAACGCTCAGCATGTCTTCTTCAATCAAGCCAAACTCATGTCCTTCCTGGCCAGTGTGGCCCATAATTGAAGGGCACCAGGTTTTAGAAAGCTGCTTTAGTGGCGCTAGTCTGAGCTTGAAGAATGTTAAATTGGCTTCAATTGTTCAAGAGCAATTGACAGTCAGTCCCGCAAGAGCTTCTATATGCTGCAGAATGCAACAGTCTCTGATATTATCTGTGGTTGTTTGCTCACTCAGTAGAACAAAAATGACACATGTGGATTTCCTTCTGAAAGGGCAAATAAAAACCTCTCTACGCTTGCCTGCTTTTGCCATGTTGCAGCTGATTGTTCAACAGTGATAGAGGGGTGGTTAAAAAGAGAGAGAGAGAGGTCTGTCTGTTGATTTTTGTCAAGCATGCCGATCTGTGCAAATCGGAGTTAACCACTCTTGTTTCCGGGGACCCAAAGGAAGACGGTGTGAGACAGCAAGAAAAATGAGGGACTTTCAGGGGCAGCTGTGTTTTACTAACCCAGTCATAATGCCCCTAAAAATCCTTATTGTTCCTTGCAATGTTCAACTATGCTCCGCAGTCAAGAAAGATTTTCAAAGGTGAGTTTCCATTGGGTTTCCAAAGGTTTGATTTCCATCCGACGGTATAAGGATCCTCAGTTGGGGTCAAAAAAGAGTTGCAAACTCTTCCAATCTTTAATAGCATCAAACAGATGAAATGGTTGTGGGTTGTTGTTTTTTTTTGTTTTTTTTTTCTTTTCTGTGTTGTTGTTCGTGACAGGCCCTTCCTCCCCGCAACACTCTTCTATTGAACAGACAGATACAATATTTATTAAAGAGTGTCGCAAGTTTTTCCCTGCGCTGAATGTAAATATGCACGCATACCGATCGTGCTGTTCCCGTTTGTAGTCAGCGGCGCTAGGCAAAGTGCAGAAAAGAAGCAAGGCACAGTAAGCAAAAGAAATGAAGGACGTGCGATAAGGAAAAAGAAGAAGAAAGACATATTGCAACATTAAGTATTTATACCAACATTATGGGTATATTGTAGATACAGAGCAGGCCAGATCTCTTAGGTAACTACCATATTGGGCTCGCTCAAACTTTGGCAGCCTTCTTGAGAGTACATTGTGGAACTCTGAAACTTTTATGCTATAGACTCAGAAGTTTGCCAGGAGCCCTGCTGAACAAATGTCTTTTCCATGCACACGGGGTTTTGATGCACACATGGTGTTCCCAGAAGAGGTTAGCCAGTGTCGGAGACAACCCCACGGAGTTCTTTGACCTGATTCCATCAAGTCCAACATACACACCAGAAGGCCTTTTCTGCCTGAGAGCTACTGTACAACAGTTTATATCTCAGCTGGTTTCATTTTTATGAGCTCGGAGCTGAGGTATGTTTCTCTGAACAAGGTTGTGCAAATATTCTCTGCCAAGACTATTAAGACTCTGCCAAGAAAAAGCTGCATTTCGCTCTCTCTCTCCCTCTCCCTCTCTCAAAGACTGAAAAATTTTGCATATGCACTTCTGATGTAAAAGAAAAACAATTATTTTTGCTTGCTAGCTAACTCTTGGCTTCAGCTAGTCTTATAAGGCAGGACAACATGAAGTAGTCAAGTCTTTCTCCTAACCGCTAAGAACCACACTCTGTTGAAAGTGCTTTAAATTTCTTTAGTCTGCAAAGGGATCGTAACATTTGTGCTTGAAGATGTGAATTTTCCTATTCTAGATTTCTTCTGGCAACTAATCTATTTTATCCTCTTTTTTTTTTTGGTCCATAGGGTTCTGCTTCCAAGAAGCATTTCTTGAGTGACAACTATACAGAACATTGCAACTTGTATCCGTGCTGCAAAGTTTCAATTGCACACACAGGGCAATCTTTTATACTAAATTTCTCAACTGCTTTCAAGATTTGATGCGATTCCCAATCTGGTACAAAAATGGGGAATTTCTCACTCTTCTAGATTTTGCAGAATTATTATTCCTTTCATCCCAAATAGCATGGATATGGAGAGGAAAACCAGGAGTTGTAATTCAAGAAGTTCTGGGAAAGCAGAAATTCTGCACTCCTGATCTAGGGCTTTTTTTTTTTTTTTTGGTTAATTTGGCTGAGTTTTATCTAAGGCTATGGTTTTCCTGTTGTCACAGGTAGTCCTTGATTTTCAACCATTCATTTACAACAGCACTGAAAAAAGTTACTTATGACCACTTCTCGCACTTAGGGTTGTTGCAGCATCCTCACAGTCTGTGACCAAAATGTGGACACTAGGCAACTGGCATGTACTTAAAACTGTTGCAGCAACCTGGGATCAAGTGACCCATCATTTGCAACATTCCCAGCCAGCTTCTGACAAGAAAATCCAATTGGTGGAGCTAGAATTTGCTTAACAACTGCAGTGGTTTACTTAACCCTGTGGTAAAAAAAAAAGGTTGTAAAATGGGCACAATTCACTTAACAACCACCTTCCTTAGCGATGGAAATTCTCTTCCCAATTGTGGTTGTAAGGCAAAGACTACCTGTATTAGGTGGACAAGGTTGGAAGATTTGCCTCCTTCGATTAGCTGAAAATTATCTAGATCAGGGGTCTCCAACCTTGGCAACTTTAAGACTTGTGGACTTCAACTCCCAAAATTCCTCAGCCAGCTTTGGGAATTGAAGTCCACAAGCCTTAAAGTTGCCAAGATTGGAGACCCCTGCCCTAGATGACATGAACTGGAGTGTACCTCATCTCTGACTTGCAATTGGGAATGGTGGGACGTGTAGTCCTGCGCATTTGGAAAGCATCAACTAGGACAAGGTTTCCTACAAAAATGAACTCACCCTGAAGAGCTTTATAGGAGCTGGTCTCTATCCCAATATGAATGGATGTACTCTCAACAGCTAACTCCATCTTTATCAACATCTTAAAACAGGTAAGCAGAAAAACAGCTGTTCAACTGTTGACTAAGGAAAAGATGCTCAAAAGACCACTTGGCATAAGGATCCCCATCTAGCCAATTGGTTAAGCTATTCCTGTGCAGCTCTAGATGCTGCATCAATCACCTACTTTAAGGAAGGACATATTGATGCAAATAATCTTTTTTAAATTTTATTTTACATGAGCGCAATGGCTCGGGTTAAGATGCTGGACTTGCCAGCTGTAAAGTCAACAGCCCAGGTTCGAGACCCGAGTGCCACATGGCGGGGTGAGCTCCTGTTACTTGCCCCAGCTCCTGCCCACCTAGCATTTTGAAAGCATACACATACAAGTAAATAGGTACCACTTCAGTGGGAAGGTAACAGCGTTTCGTGAGCCTTGGCGTATACCACATGGTCATATGACCATGGAAATGTCCTTGAACAACGTGGGCTCCCTCGACTAAGAAACGGAGATGAGCACCCCTCCTTAGAGTCGGACATGACTGGTCTGGGGAAGCCTTTACCTTTATTTAAGGATGCATGCTTTTCCAAATTATATCAAGGCAATTGCTGCTGGCTATTCTAATGTGCAAAATGCTGTATTGTATATCAAATGCTGTGAAAATAAACAGAACTTACAAATAAATGCTTGGGATTCCTTAGTTCATTGTGTTTGCACTCTACTACTGTTCTGCAGGAAACTCACTGAAGCCAATAAGAGACTGTTTCATTTTGCCCTCATAAAGCAGGCTATTTTTTTGAGCAGTGAGAATTAGAGCTGAACCAAGATTTGGATCCAAGCTTCCAGATGAAATCTAACAACACATGAAGAATAAAAAAAAAGGGTTTATTTCAGTGTTTCTTTCTTTCTGACTAGATATATTGTTGAGGATGGAATAGAGAAAGGAAAAAATATTTGGTTATTAATGACAGATGCTTATTCTCAGTCCTCTGAAAAGATCTGGTGAAGATTAAATTGGTTGTTCCCAAGTTATTCAGTCTTGGATGTTACTTACTAATTGCTTTCTGCTTGGCTACATGCTAAATATTAAGTGTCATGACAAGGAGAGTAATCACACCTAACTCCAATGATGTCTTCAGGTAATCAATATTTTGGTAAGCAAAGGTAAAAGCATTGCTGGGGTTTTTGTTCCTTTTATGGGGGGGGTTGTGTGGTGTTTTTTGGGTTTTTTTGCTTTTGCAATTTTAGTGGGGATCCACTGAGCAGAATATATAAGGTTTCTAAATAGTGGATGGAGGGGAAGCTGTAATCCTGTTAATAATATTCAGACATACCCCAAGAGATGGAATTGCAATAAATTCATGGTAGACTGAGGAAACTCATTGATGCAATGCATAATTAAGCTGATTTTTTTTAATAAAAAGGCTTGTTATATCAATATGTATATAACGTTTTAGACAGCTGTTTCAGTAGAGAATGACAATATTTCATTGTAATCCATATATAATCTACAGCTGTAACCAATTTATTAATCACAAATAACATCAGGTTTTCAAGATTCCATATATTATAATTCCATATATTATTCTTTCCGGTGTTGAAGAACCAATATACAGTAAAATATAATGTCTTTTGCCCCTCTGGGTAGGATGAGAGGTTTAGTCCAACATGTCTGAAGGACATCTACTTGCGGAAGGCTGGTTTAGAGGTTTTAAAGAGTGAAGTTACAAATGAGGATGAGATCCTGGTCAGTACTTGTAAAGAAAGAAAAGTCTTTCAAGTTAACTTCATTTCCTGATAATGTCCATCGAGTTTCCTTGGCAATATAATTTGCTAGTGATGCCTTTTGGGACTTATTTAATTTTTTAAAATTCCAGTTATGTCACTGGCCCAAGATATCCTGCTTGGTCTCTCATCCTAAGACTAACGGATTAGCTTTTGGAGATCTACCCTGGCTGGTTAGATCTCGAATTTATAAACTATCTAATTTTAAATATGCCTCTGAAGAAAAGTATGAGTCTCTGGTTGATTGAATAACTTTTTTTCCCAAATACTCTGGTTAACCAGATACTTGGTTGAGAATTTTCCCCAGTTATTTGGTAGAACCAGACATTTCGAAACAAATTGTTGGATCTGATGGGCTTTCCAAATTAGCTCTGTCCCAAGAAAATCACAGTCTGAATTTTGACAAGGAAGGAATGAGCAGTGAATTAAAGCAAAATGGAAGCATAAACAGGGTGGAAAAAAACATCTCAGAAATATCTATTTGTACCTTTAAGTTATTGTCCACCAGAAAACCTCTGGAGGTTAACCCATGCAGACATGTATAAGTTTGCAAACCTCAATAGTTGTTGAATGCTTCTAGGGCAGAGTCTTCAAGGCAATGTTTTCTTCTTCATTCTCTGCAGCTAAGGGTCCATGTCAGGTTGCAGTCGCTCTGAGTTGAGACATTCTGGAGTGGCAGCTAAGCCTAGACAAATAAAATCTGCATCTTCAAATTTTGGGGTGCCTCTCCCAACCCCGCCACCTCACCTGACAACAGATTGCCTCTTTAGCAAACGTTCCCACTAGAGTTTTTTCCCACCTACAGTCTGGAAAACGTGTCCTATTGGTACAGAAGTGAGAAGGAAGGGTCAGTCTGTTTTTCTTGGCACAGCCTGTGGATGTGATTAGCTTTATCTGTGTTTAAGTTGTGTTGAACACAGCAGAGGGAGCATTACCTCACTTCGCATCAGGCGGCAGACCAGAAAGCCATTACTCTCACATATTTTTAGCACTCCAAACAGGAAAAGGCCTGCCGTGGCTATGGATGTTTGGGGATGCTTTCCTTTCTGCCCTTTGCTTTCTCTTTGCCATATCATATTTATCCTCTCGTTGCAAGGCACCGTAAAGCCAATGATGACCCTTTGTCTGGAAAAGGAAATGATCGCTTTTTGTTCCTTATGTGGGAATAATTTTCTTCAGCTTCCTTTGGATCATAAATCACGGGTGGCTGTTATGATGAGGAGGAACGCCGGTGGCCTCTCCTCCACAGCTAGACAACACCAGCATAATCTCTATTGTCAATTGCAAGGGGAAAATATCTTATTTTCCTCCACACCTGGATTTTTTAAAGTGCTTTGGGAGGGGATGATTGTATTTTGCTGTACAGATTTTTTTCAGTGCATTAAATGAGGGTGTTTTTCTGTACCTGGCCCACTTAGTTTAGTTGCTTAGTTGAGAGGTCTGAGATTTCCAACTTTTTTTTTTTTTTGGAGGGGGGTGGCTAATAGACCCACTTGGAATATTGAGAGCGCATTTTGGGCTGTCCCTTAAAATGGCACTTGTGAAGGGACTGGCCAGGCACCAAACATCTATTGCCAAACATTTTATTGTACACCGCCCAGAGTCCCTCTGGGAAGAGGATGGGAGGTTCAGAAATGTGATAGATAAAAGACAGACAGGCAGCTATAGAGATAGATGATAGATAATCTATTTACCAGACAGCAAAATGAGAAAAGCTTTTCCTTCACCAGCCTCTAGACTCCTGAGATGCTCTTTACCATGTTAATGAACCTTGGTTTAAATCGGGGGTCTCCAAACTTGGCAACTTTAAGAAGATTTGTGGACTTCAACTCCCAGAATTCTCTAACCATCATGGCTGGCTGAGGAATTTTAGGAGTTGAAGTCCACAAGTCTTAAAGTTGACAAGGTTGGTCACCCCTGGTTTAGATTTTCTGGACAGGTGGGCACATTCTCTAAGCTGTCTCTAGCCCCCCCTTTTTTATGAAATCACCTCCACTGTTCAAGGCAAGGATTGATAGGCCTCTGGTATCCACCAACTCACCCTGGGAACAAGTCTGCCTCCTGTGTATATGCCAACCTTTGTCTCCAAGATTGAAGATTATTCTGGATCAGCATCAAGCAAAGCTCTGGAGGCAGATCCTTTACACAAGTACGGTAGACACCTCATACTGAATACGTAGACAGTTCACAACAATACAACCAACTCTGATCAGAGGCTGGGTTGAGCTACATATTACTGCAGGCCTGAAATAACCTTATTCACCGGTTAGTTTTTCATGTGACTGTTATATGAATAGGCTGTTATTTTTTCATACAATAACTGGGTTCTCCCATCTTACTAACCTGTGGTTTGCTTTAGTCGTAGTTGATCGAAGAAGCCATGGAGGCCTGGTTGACCCATAAAGCATGCAAACTGCAACCACTTCATTCATACAGTATATAATCCCAAGCAAAAGGCCCTTTCCCATAAATGGAAGGTCCCAATTCTTTTGACAATCAAAAGAGATCCCAGAGCAGAGGGAATTGGGGTTGATGCAAAAGACATTCCTTAGACACCACTAGATTTTTAAAAAATTATCCCAGATAGTTTAATCATTTCCGTTGAAAAATCCCTTCAGGTAAGTATTTTTCCTTGCAGTGATTTCACTGATAGCTAGAACAGGAAGTGGTGAAAATGTTGTTGCACATTCCACACATTTCCAATGTGGTGCTTGTGTAAAGCTACCAAATGATTAGAGAACATTCAGCAGATAAATCATCAGCTTGTTGACAGATTGATCAATTCATTCATTGGTTGGGTGTTAATCTGTTATAGCAGAACATCAATAAAGTTGCCATTCAGAAATAATCAAGGAAATCTACGATACAATTCAATCAAGACAAATTCATTTCCTGTTGGGTTTTTCTCTCCCTTTTTTTCTTTTGCTTTCCTCTTTAAATTTAAATTTAATAAATACCTTAATTAATTAATTTCCTCTTTGCTATACTGCAACGTAACTGAAGTGAAGCAGCCATTCCCCCAGCAATATCTGTAATTTTCAGATCTGCTGAAAGTTTAAATTAAATGTTATTGATTTATTAACTTAAAGCTTTAATTTACTAATTGATGCTTAACTTTTTTTTTAAAAAAATGGATTTATTGCTTCATTGTTCATTAAAATATTCTTACAATATTTTTTTTTACTGGAGGCAGCTGTCCTAACTCATGTTCTAAGGGAGTTGCTGTAAGGAAAAGTTGGAGGCTCTTGTCAATATGTTTCCTCTTATTAATGTAAAAAGCAGCCGCTGCTGTTAATTTGGCAATTTATTCACAAGAAATCACTAGACCAGCACAGAACATTGGTTTTTTGGTGGTAATTTATTTACTTATTAAAAGAGTTTAGATTGTCATCTGTCTACCAGAAGGAACTTGGGAGGAGGGGAATAAAGTAAAACCACAATACAATACAGTAACCATTTAAAGAAATAAATGTTGGGGTCCCCACCAATCACCCCATATCAGCTATATTAACATGCTGGCCTCAGTACCTGGAGGTGGGTGGGAAATCCAGGTCTTTATTGCTTTAATAGATGGACAAATGACTAGAATATGTTAATGGTGGGATGAATTACAGTAGGAATAGTAAACCTTGAATTTAGCCACACCTCTGAAGTATGTATGTTTAGGATTGGTATGAACGATAGCGAATGGTGGACGTGTGCATGCTTGTGCTTTTGAAATCCCTTGTGTAGAACTAGTTGAAACACAACCCCTTGGTGATAAGAACGTTGCAGCCTGTAATAAATCATAATTTGCAACAGGCGGCTTTTAATATTAAGCAGCATTTGTATAAGCTTGTCTATAGGTTGCACACAGCTTTTGATCATCAGTGTTGATTTAATAGTGCAGGGTGTGTGTC